AATAATTAACCACAAAACCTCCAATTAACTACTTTAAATAAAAGAATCATTGGCTGAGCACATTTTTGCCAGATCTGAATTATTTTCTCAAACACTGCTTATAAATGATTCACCATCATTTGCTTTTAACACCAAAGAGAAGAAGAGCGAAAAGCCAAACACGTCGGGTCAAAGAAACTGGATCACCCATTTTCTACTTGACTGCAGACGACTTTCTGAACTTCTGCAAAAGAGACGCCGTTTTTTTTCCATCTTTGTAAAACGACTCCAACTAGCTGAATAATTTTTGCTTGGATAATGTTGGACTAGAGATGCGAGTGTGTGTATAACAGAGCAGCTTTAGCCCCAGGCAGGCAGCCGGTCTCAGTCCAATTAAACAGAACACAGCAAGGTGATTGTTCACCTTCATTTGTCCCTCAAAAGCATCACAACAGTGTGTACACACACACACATTTACACATCAAGCTGGAGCGAGAGAAGATGCAGAGAATAAAACCCATCAACTTTCATCTGGAGGGTTAAAAACGAGCCGTTAACATAAAAAAGTTTACGGCTCAGTAGAACTGAGGTAGGGCTGTTACGATTTCTCAAATGATTCGAGTTCCGCAGTTATAAAAATTAATGGAAGAAAATTACCTGCTTCGCTTAGCGCACCGTGTTCCGGCTGGTGATTATTTGTGTTGCGCAACACTCACTTCCGCCTCCGAGTTGTTGACTAATGCAAAGGGCTAGCAGCACAACTTGTCCAGTTTTCAAGTCCGGTCCGGGGGGATTTCACCGATTCATGATCATATCGGGTTTTTATCGTTTTTCGGGGAAATGAGTGAAGCGATGCATGGGAGACAGCAGCCGTCCTCCTGGAGCTGCTGCCTGGGGGCTGTTCATACAGGACACATGCAGGCTGAACGCAGCGGGCGGATGCAGCTTCACGGACAAACCGTAAAATAAATTTCCTCCCATCCCGGCTGGGCAGCAGAGCCGTACGTAGCTGGTGGACGTTTTCTGTGTGCGGTGAAGCTGCCAAATGGATGCAAAGCCAATAAATGTCTTGGCAAAGTGAAAGTTAATCTATTAAACTGACTTAAGATTTTGAACAGATTATGTAAAATTACATGTCAACTGAGCAAGATGATTGCTTTAATTTTTATTTTTTCTTGTTTTTACTTTGTTTGAAATTAAATAAATGTTGAGTTTTAAAAACTAATTTCAGACAGTTATATTCACTTAAATATTGTAGCATTTTTATATCACTGTTTTGAGAACATTAAATATGTTCAAATGTAGCAAAGCTCCACATAGATGCCTGCTAACGTCA